GCGGTTGAAGTTGGTGGTAGCACTCAACGAATCTACCTACATATGAGCAGCAGGATTCTCACGAGTTCTTTATATCGCTGTTGGATTGTATTCATGAGAACGAGGGGAAGTCGAAATGTTTTTTTTAAGGTAATCTAATTGGTTTGCCTAGAAAACAATGTTGCTTCTATCATCTTTGTCTATTGTTTGATGGTTTTGGAATACTGTGAGAGTTGATGAAACTTTCAAGATGGAATTTAGTTTAATGCTTTTCCCGTTTGATACCGATAAGTTTGTTTATTTGCTTGGTGTGCAAATCATGAGGAGTGTCAGTGTATCACTCACAGAGCTTCTTTGCTTGGTTCACCACTTTTTTAAAGACGGAGAATAACTACGGCGGTGAAACAATAATTTCTCCGGCCAAGCGAAGGAAGAGATTGAGATTTTGTTAGATTAGTGAGTCTCACGGTTAAATTATGAAAAAATTTGTAAGTTTCAAATATTAAATTTAATACTAAACATTAGTTTAAAATCCTTTAAGAGTCTCACGGTTAATGATGTCTTATGATGTTCACGGTAACGTAAGGTTAGCAAAAACCAAATGACTAAAGCCACTGACATGTCTTTATCGATAATTCAAATGTAGAATTGGGTCATGTATCAATCTACTCAAATCATTTTTTTTTGTACTATTGAGGATAATATGATGTTCACGGTAACGTAAGGTTACTATTTGTTTTTTTTTTTTTTAATTCTACCAACTATCAATCTAATCAATCATTTCTTTGGTACTATTGAGGATCCGGGTCAAATTAAATCAATCATAAATCTTAGCAATCTAAGAACCCTTTTCAGTTCACCTACCAAAGAACAAAAATTTTCTTACAACATCTACATAACTTTTTTTCTGGCCTAAGAAAGAAACTGCCATGGATTCCAAAGGAGCAGCTCAGTGGAGCTCAATTTTAGTTCCTTCTGTTCAAGAGATGGTTAAGGAGAAGATGATCACGACTGTTCCTCCCAGGTATGTTCGGTCTGATCAAGCCAAAACTGAAGTCACCGATGGTTCTTGTCTAAAGATAGAGATCCCAATCATCGACATGAAGCGGTTGTCTTCTTCAATTTCCATGGACTACTCTGAGGTCGAGAAACTCGACTTTGCTTGCAAAGAATGGGGATTTTTCCAGGTACACAAACTTTACTATTTTACAAAATAACCCATTGTCTTTCTTTATTAACATATTATTATATGGAGCTAAGATTTGTCTTTTCGAGGCAAGTCTCCGAATTTTACTACTTTATCTGTTTCGTAACATAAAATATTTATAAAAAAAAAAAATTGTTTTAAATTTAAAACGTTTATAACTTTTTAGGTAAATTTTAATATTATTTGATTTTTTATGACTATATATAATTTTGGATTATATAGTTTTTTGTGATTCGTTAAATTGTTTTAAAAATGATATTATATTTTGAAAAGAAAAAAAAAATCTTGTATTTAAAACTAATATTCGTTATATTTCTAGCTAGATTATCTTTATATTGTATTTTGAAATGGAGGGAAAAAAAATTGCTGCAAAAAGTCGATTTAAAAAAACGAAACAGAACAAAAATTCTAGGCAAGTCTCAGAAATTACCCAGATATTATCGTTTCTTACAAACTAGCCCTTATTTTTTTTTTATTACCATGTCAAACCCAAAATGGAGCATAACACGCTCTGTTTCAAAATTAAGCAATGTTGTTTATGTAATTATGGTCATGTACTGTATCTACAGCTTGTAAACCATGGAGTAGATCCAAGTTTGTTGGACAAATTTAAGTTGGAGATGCAAGATTTCTTCAACCTTCCAATGGAA